AAAGGTACATAATTTGTAGACAATCTCTATACATAACATTGACTGTCATCAAAATTCTCATGCAGGTTTTGGAAGATACGATTCACTTAAATGCAGTCTTTCAGGTCGAAAGAAAACACCCCCTCATCAGAGCATTACTGAAGTGTTGAATCTTCACAGAGGCATTAATACTGGCATCCAGGGGCAAATCTAGAGGGGCGGCAAAAAATGCCTGGCCACCCCAGCTGCTTGGTGTCAAATGGTGTAAAATTTAACTTTAATTTTAAAAATAATGTGTTAAAACATAGAAATTATTTGAATGATATGTTATGGACACATTTTAGACTAAGTGTTCAATGAATAAAAACATGTCAGAAGATTTGGAAATAAAAGAGTTCATTGATCTCTAATGCCACCTTTAGATATTTCTATTCAGTGTTTTACTAATGTGCCACAATAATGTTTCTGAGTTTAAATATCTTCATTTGAGGGATTTTCCAAGAAAATAATGATATATGTGATTGTGATTAAATCAGCAGATATTTCTGCCACCCCATTAAAGTCTCCAGGACACCCTCTGGACCCCCCATGAATATTTCTCTAGATCCACCCATGCTTAGAACTGCTTCAAATCTCCCTAGGATCCCCTGGATTTCTGGCTATTTTATTACAACATAGTTTATTGGGAAACGACTAACATTTGAACGTTCTGCTCTGAGTAATGCTCCGGTGTCTTTTTCCGAGCCGTACTCTTTGCATACTCTACGTTTGACAGGTCAGGCACCATTAACCGAGCACACTGCCGAGTCAGAGTAGGTCAAAACACCCCATTGGCGCCACCACACACATACACACACACACACACACACACACACACACACACACACACAGATTGCTCAATTAGCCCTCCTGTAGCCTGTGCGTCTCTTAACCCCGCAGCTACGCTTATAAGTCATTACACTCAGGGTCAAGTGTGATCCCTGTGCTTATCTGCATCAACAACTGGCAAGTGTAGGCGTTCTTTTGCACACATACACACACACAGACAAGTACACACACACACAGACCTCTGGTAAGTGTTGTGGGTAATAAAAAGTGATTTAGGGAGGGATGTGATTGAAGAGGCAATGCTGCCCTCGTGTGCTCTGCAATTTGTAATTACAAGCGGTCAAAAGATATTATTTGTGGATGATTGGTAAATCCCCAACATAACTCACCCTGCCCTCTCTTCCCGGAACCACATCTCATACACAGGGTCACACACAGTCGCCTCAGATACTGTTTCTAACCCTTACATCCACATGCCAACTTATATGAGCTGAACAACGTGGAAGCACATGGAGGTCAGGTGCTGAATCCTAAAATTCTAAATGTGAATAAAACACATCCTGTTTTTGTGTAATAAATAAGAATTGGAGCAGTCTGACATATGTGTGGGTCTTTATGCTTTATGTGCACTGTGAAACTTACAGTGGACTGTAAAAGTTAATTTAACTGAAAAAAATGTTGAAACTGATTACATCGAAAAACATTGTTGATCAAGTTGCTTTTACTAGTAGTTTTAAGAAAATGTTTCTGTAACTTACAAAACTAAGCTAGTGTCACTTAAAAAGACTAGTAAAAGCTGTGTAATCAAGAATGTTTTAAACTTAAAAAATTGAGCTTGTGTTACTTAAAATGTTTGATGTAACAGTTTTGTTTAGTTAAAATAACGTTATTTATGTTACAGTGTGTTCTGGTGGTCTCAGAAGGTCTGAGTCTCACTGGTCCTATTAGGGTGTAATAGCTGGAGCCTTCAGCGGTGAGGTGGAACAGTGAGATGTTTTATCTGAGCCGGATCACAAAGCTTCTCTTCTCCTTTCCGGAGCCTCTTCAGTCTAAAAAAAATGACTACGGGATGTGCGGCGGACCCAGGGAGGAAACTCCCTTTACCACAGCCCTGCTATCTCTGTGGGAGTTCATTATACACACAGACTGGCCACACACATGAATGCATACACATTCATGAGCACATATTGTATGTACAATACGCACACATGCAATATCTATTGTGGGAGATTATTACACACACACACTGGTGGGCAGATGTGTACACCATTCACCGCACTATAAACTAACCATTGAGAATATGTTTCTGTGGACATCCCCTGCTCCACCCATGCAGACAGACTCCCCGACAACCTTCCACCCACAGTCCCTCCTCCACCCACAAGGTGTGGGTTGTGTGTGTGTGTGTGTTGGGGCCAAGGATAGAGTAGTAGTGAGTCTGTGAAACTGAGTTACTTGTGTTCAGATGACAGATGTTACAGTAAAACAGACTAATACCACTGAGGGGTCACACATAGGGTCAGGATACGTTACACAGCCATCATTGATATAAAGCATTCTCTTGCTCCTAACCTGAAAGACCCCCTCCACACACGTGTTAAGATATATACAGGCTACAGGTAATCTGCTTGGTGTCATCTACTCCTACCTCATTAAAAATGTCAGAATCTGTGAATATGCAAATCTTAAGACATAATAATACATTTTTCATTATGATTACTCTCTCAATCATTCTTTCGAATAACTGTCTATAAAATGTCTAAATGAGTTCAAGACCCCTGAATCACCAGCAACACCTCAGATTTGTTGAGAAATACAGAATGAATGAATGAAGTTAAACAAAAAAGCAATTTAGTCTGAGCGTCATTGTTTTTGCTAGATTGATGACTGATTAATAAATGAATAGTCAGTTGCTGCCATTAATCGACTAATCTTTTCAGTACTAGATTATTGCTAATGCGAAGGAGGCTATGTTTTTGGTTTGTCTGTTAGTTAGCAGCAGAACATCTCTAAAACAAATTTAGGCCACAGGACAAAGAAAAACACAGTTAGTTTTAGACAGCGCCACCATGTATAACTTTCACATTAAAATCCTTTAACAGTAATCTCCTCCTTCTGCCTCATTAAACCTTCCAGAATCTCTGAATATACAAATGTTGTTGGTTTCTTAAGTTTTCCTGCTGGACACAAGATGTCTCCTACTTCACTGTAAAGTCCATTCTCAGTGGATGTGCACTGGTGGCTTCAAATTTTAATTCAAAGTTTACCTTCTAAATATTTTGTTTTAAATGTGGTCAAGGAAGTGACTTTTAAAATAATGAATTGCTTTTCTTATGAAGATTGTTTCTTACTCTTCTGCCAAAAGAAATCAATACTACATCATCAATTTGATCCTACTTACACTGATTAACCAAAATGTTCTCAATCTAAACATAAGAAAGCTATGCAAACTTTAAATGTATTTACCTGGTACAACATTGTTATGTTATACGTGCTTTCTGTCGGTGTCCCCTGCCATTGTCTGTTCATGTCCTGTGTGTGTTTACCTGCTGTTTGTTAATTAAAAACTGTCATGTCACAAATTGTGTTTGTAGGCATAAAATCAGATTTTCAATGAGCACAGAGAAACTTTCCACTTTCAGCAGATGAATGTGAAAACATCCTTCTAGTGTCAAACTCTGCACAGACAGCATTCAAACAGCACACTGTAGGAACAAGGACAAACACTGGTTTCTGACTGGAGGCTGCATTAATCACTATGTTTACCGCTAACTGTGTCCGTCTGCAGTTCAGTGCTGCGCAGGTAGTGTATAGTGGGTTTATTAGAGATTTCTTTTTGCTGAAAAAGAGAAATGGAATGTGAAATGGTTCACCTGTGGTAACAAAGCCACAGAGAATTATGGTACCACTTGGAATTTCCCCTCTGTGGAGTGTTTTTCACCTCATTGTTTTTAGTTTTATGGCCCACAACTTTGCAGCTTTTAATCCCCAGGCAGCATTTGCAGCTCTGATATACCCACTGCTTTAGAGAGACAGATATTTAATCTGACCTATAACCAGCATGTGGCAGAGACACAGCCCGAAATGAATGATTTTAATGCTCTGTGTCTTCTGGATGTGTAAGCAGGCGGTTAACTTAAGCTCTATACAGTGATAATCTGTCAATGTTGTGTTTCCACCATGCTGCACTGCCCCCAAATGGCTAAACACATCAATTCAAGTTAAAGGCTGTTGGGGTCAGCACATGATACTGTCTTAACCCTTATGAGATGTACTTCCCTAAAAATGTTCTGTCAATTTGCAGGTCTAAATATAAAATTAGTTCTCATAAACATGAAGTACAAGAGCTCACACACACAGGTTTTAAACTCAATCACAGATATCACAAGATGCCTTATTTCCTTTCCTATTACAAACTATGGGGAATGTATTCTTGTGTGTTTCCTTCATGTGTTTCACTTGACAAGCACTATATATATATATATATATAAATGACAAATTCAAATTGTTTGTTTATACTAATCCAATCCATAGCCTTTGCAGAGCCATTGGTACAACATTACAACAGCATATGGACTGATATTCATATCAGCAGCAAATCAATTCCCCCAAACTGTTGACAGATCAAAGACAACAACTGTCATTCAGTAATTTCAAATGTTTGAGGGAATATTTAGCTCTTAGATCAACATTTCAGGGAGCCCTTTCTGCACGGCTACATCCAGGTTCCTGCAGGTGTCTACGGGCTAAATTGAAGACTTTTTAAGACCATACTGAGAGCAATTTAAGACCTATTTTACATCCATACAGGCAAAAAAAGTGCAAAGGATCTGGTATTGGCTCCATGTCAGTTCGGTCTTGTAGTTGTTACAGTATGATCAATAAAAAATTTAAAATTCAGACAGAAAATGCAACTTTACACAATTAGAACTTCAATCAAATACATTTTTAAGACCTGTTAAATTCCTATTTAAGACATTTTTAAGGCCTAAAATGTGTTTTTAAATTTAAAACATTTTAAATTAAATGATTGTTGACTTTTTAAGATGCCCCTGATCGCAACCTGACAGGCTTATCTCGGGGTAGAATTGTTCACCCAACAGCTGCATCACTCCCTGGAGGTCAGGTTTTACTAATGGCCATTAACTAGACTCGGATGCCATCTGCTGGCAAATTTGGGGTATGACATGCCATCAGAATTTGTAGAAATCTTTATTAAGAGTCAGTCAAAAGTACATTAACCCCTGGCGCACTCAGTAAAAATGGCCAAATAATTCACATTTAAGGCCATGATACTCATAAAATTGGGAGGCAGCGTTTGCAGTCGACTGTAAAAACAGACACATGGGGGAAATAAAAAAAGAAAAAAGTTTCGCCAGTCGGGAACAGCAAGAGGGATGCTGTCTGAAGTCCCTTTGAGTGTCAAAGGTGTGTGAAACTAAATCTTTTCTACAGTGGTGCGGAGGATGTATAAACTGCCCCCCACTCCTCCAAAACAATAAAACTTCACTGTTTCACCCAAGAGGTCAACTCTTGTCACAGTGAACCTGGGGGCTGTGCAATGTGCCCACAGCGCTCCTGTCACAATGTGTCAAATGCAAACAGACAAGTAAGAGGCAACATAAATTAGGAAAACTAAAACACAACAAACAGATGAGCTTTGTTCTTCCCTATTTACAAAGTATTATTGAACAGGAGTCTGACCAGAGCAAAAAAAACCAGTTTCATCAGTCAACAGGTTGGAGCTGTTACATTCAGAAAACTAATAAAAATAGCAGGTGGTCTCACAGGCTGAGAGTTGATCAAAAGTTGGTAGGGGATTTTCTTCTTCAGATGTCCAGTTTGTCAGTAGATGAGCTACTGCACCATCAGCAGATGTAGTGAATGAGTGTCTCCAGAGAGGTACAGTGGTCCACACATTAGTAGACAGACACTGAGTAGAAATAGGTGAATTTTAAAATAACCAAAGGCTTATTACAACATAATGCAGGGACAAAAAACATACAACAAAAGACATGGCATCCTTTCCGTTTTATACACTTCAAATCAAACATCTGCTGTCAAAACGTAGAACAATAAAAACTAATTGGATTCAAGCCATCCTGAGAACAGTCTGAAAATAATAAATACACCCTGGCCAGAATTACAGAGCACCCTCCCGTTGATTGAAGATGTGTGTGTGCGTGCGTGTGTGTGTGTGGCAGATAACTCAGTCCAGGCTGTGTCCATCAGTGTGTTAGTATCCTTGTAGCCCATTGTAAACCTTCTGCACAGAGCCCTGCTTCAGGAGACTCAGAATACCTGCAACGACAGAACAACAACTGTTAACAACAGCAACATAGCAAATTAAAAAATATACATTTTCAAATATCATATAAGTAGGGATGTCACAAGAAACAATATTTCGATACCAAGGACATTCTAGTCTGCCATTAAATGTCACAGGAAGAAAAACGCCGACCAGCACAGAAGAACTACCACGTGTTAACAATGGCGGCTGCAGCTCCGCCCCGACTCATCGAAAAGTGAAACTATTTTCACATATGAACTTCGAACAACCTCAAAATCAGGTTGGGACATTGTCCAAATGTGTCCCTCTACACACGTAGCACACAGCAGGAGTCAGACGTGTTCTCACATGTTGGAATGGTTGGTTCAGAGTGTTCAGAGCGTGCAGGAGGAGGAGAACTCCTCCGTAATGGTGACTGCTGCATTAATACACATAAACCGAGCCTCAAAATGACCACAAAGCTCTAACTGTGAACTATGAGCAGGACACACAGACTGTGTGGAAATTGGATGTTTTCACATCACAGATGACAGAGAAAGACATTAAAACAAGAGGTATCAAAGTGAGACTGTAGGCTAATACGGATTCACTGATTTTGATTGATTGAAATTGATTTTGATATAAATATACAACGATAGAGTTTTTTGTAAATTCTTTGGCATACATTGTTAAACAGGGGTACAATATGACTGAGAATACAATCTTAAGGGGCTAAAATGACCTTTTTTATTTCACCTGGACTTAATGACCTTATTGTTATGAGGGTATGTCTCATCAATTATTTAGTCTGTTAAACTTCAGTAAAAAACAGACATTTTCTCCATTTGTCTGAACATTTAAAAACCCCCAAAAGATTCAAAGTCAGAGAAAATGAGTAAATTCTCACATTAGAGAAGTTAGAATCTACATCTTTTTTTTAGCATTTCTTTCTGGCAAACTACTTCAAAGTATTTAAATGAGCGACTTTAAAAACAGATGCTAACTAATTTATTTAAGTGAGTAACACTTAGTTATCACAACTATTAGTCCTACATTTTAAATACTGCAATAGCATCTGCCTGGTTAATGCCGATGTCTTTCAAACTGTTGGGATTTTCTCTTTAAGATAAGCTGTGAAGTAAAATAACTGGTCATTAAGGAACTGCAAACTTTCTCAAATGCGGTCCTTAAAGAGACAGTTCAGAGAGCAGTTTCACGTAGGAATTATTTTCTTATTACCGAACTACACCCACCAACAGTATCACCCTGCAGAAGGATTTGTGCATTTAGATACACACTTCCTTCAGTGTGGCTATAGCTCAGAGGAAGAGCGGGTCGTCCACTAATCGGAAGGTTGTTGGTTAGATCCCCGGCTCCTCCCGCCACAAAAAGTATATTTGAGCAAGATACTGAACCACGAATTAATCCCGATGATGTGCATGAATGTGTATGAATGCGTTGGTTTCTGTTTGTGAATGTGTGTGAAAGGGTGAATGTGGCCCGTAGAGTAAAAGCGCTTTGAGTGGTCGGAAGACTAGAAAGTCGCTATACAAGTACAGGTCCATTTACCATTACATAGAAAGAAAACAGTTCCTACATGAAACTGCTCACAACAAGGTCTGTGGATTATCTTGAGTAACCAGTAGCCATCTGATTCCATTATCTTAAAGAGAAGGCCAATAAAGCACAGCCACCCACACCAGAACAATCTAGATGGAGGAGAAAATAGCACTATAGGGAAGAGGAAAAACAGGGGCTGTTTTGGGGTGTTCTGTCCTTTGAACACTTCATTCTCACCATCTTTCTGCTGGTCGTCGAGCTGTGTCTGAGGAAACTCCACATCGAAGGTGATGATGAGGGAACCTCGGATGTTGATGTTGTCAAAGTTTGGCAGACCCTCTCCTTTCTTCCACATTCGAGCACTGGGCTTAGTGACCTTATCTCTCACTATATGGACCTGTCAGGCAGAGACAGACCCAACCGTTCAATATGACTGCCACAGTTAACCCAGAGCTCCTCATACTATGGCTCTTTACCAACTTTTAATAGTCAGAGTTCTAAAAGAGTCACAGTGGATAACAAATGCAGTTCTGTAAAAATACCAAGCATGTACAGAACCTTGTGTCCGTCCAGATGTACAATGTCCATCTCAAAGCCGACCAGTGCCTCCACCAGGGATATTGTGACGTTGGTGTACAGGTCATCTCCTCTGCGTTCAAACACAGGATGTCTACAAAGAAAAGCAGCCCCACATCATGTTACTGTATGTCACTAATTTAATATTGTTTTGTAGCACAAGAAAGTACAAGTCACAGTGAGTAAATCTTATTCATACTTCAACACTTTGATGCGGAAACGTAGATCTCCAGGTTCTCCATCGATGTGAGGTTCCCCTGTGGTCACATATAAGATGTTAGCAGCAGGTAATATAAGAAAGAAAGAAGAAAAAAAAGATTTATTTTAAGTTTTATCTAGATTTACCTTCTCCAATGAAAGGGTACTCCATTTCATCTCTCACTCCCTGTTCGATTTCAACCTCCAAGGTCCTCTCTTCATTTACCAGCCTGTAGTTAACAACACATAATGGAAAACATGTTGTGATATTAGGTTTGTACAACTTCTTTCATGAGTGTTACTACAACTCTGAAAGTTCAGTTTTTGCTGTTTTAGAGAGGTGTTGATTTAACTGTATGGTCTTTTTGGAGGCTGCAGTTTGTGGTGCTGTTGAATTGACCCTTCCTAAGTCCCGCCCATTTTTGGTCTGTGCTCCAATAACAACTGAGCAAGCCTGGGTAACCCTCTCCTTCCCTGTACTTAAGACATGCTATGTGCTAGGCTCTCTATGTTGAAAAGACAAAAGCCACACACACATATATATGGTAACAAGTTAGCTAGCTAATGTTTGCAAAACAGTAGCTAACTAGCTAGCTAATCTACATAAATCATTAGTTAGCTTGTTAGCCCAATCTCATTCCATAAAGTCCCAACGTTTTGGTCAGCATGAACAAACAGAGCACCAGCACTGGCGGCACCATGATGCACCACCAATTAACGAGCAGCCGTAGTTGAAAAGAGAAGCAATATACACTAGACATATACACACACACACACACACACACACACACACACACACACACACACACACACACACACACACACACACACACACACACACACACACACACACACACACACACACACACACACACACACACACAGGGACTTGAGATCTGCAGCACTAGATCTCAGTTTCTGGGAAGTAAGAGGACCCTTGAAATCAAGTAATGTAGATTCTCCAGGACGGATCGCTCTCCTAGGATGGAGATTCTGGGTTAAATTTGGGGTATTAAAAAAAATCAGTTGCTATGATCAGCAATGCTCCCAGCATTATTGAGGACACTAAGGGCAATAAGAGTTTTACCACAAGCAGGGACTTACTTTACATTAGGACACTCATCACACACCATCTCCTGAGTCATCTGGAAGCGGCCAGGTCCGAGCTGCGTTGTCCTCATCTCCTGCCTGCAGTTACACTTCCTCTTACCGGGGGCTTCTTTGGCTACAGGTTTGTTACGTACAACCTGTGAGACAAAGCCATTTTAGAAAAGATTATTTTAAAAAAAACTGCCATTTCCACTTTGTGTTACAAACTTTAAAATCAGGATCATGAGCGTAGGCTTTACTCCGCACCTCAACAAAGTTCCCAGAGTACACCTCTTCAAGTGTGACCTCCAGGTCTAGTACAATGTCATTTCCTCTGGGGATGTTCCTGTCCTGTTGCTGCCGGTTGCCTCCAAACATGAACCCAAAGTCACCAAAGAAGCTACGGAGGAAGAGGAGGAGTAGCATGAGTAGACTTTCTTTTAGAAGTACACATATGGGTAATAACACAGTTTCATCTGTGATTTGACTTAGAATCTATTTCTTAAAACATCTGGCCACAACTGAATGCCAGTTCATTTAATATCCTTGTTTGTTGGAGCATGTTTGTAGCCCATTGTTCCACTGCGGTCTCAGTGGAGCACTTCTGGAGCAGTTTCCCTCTAACCGTAACCATTATTTGGCCGCAGTCCATAAGTGGCAGTGCGACACAAGTAGAATTTTTTCCACTTCACGTCTGGGAAACACACTTTGTGTTAAATGTCACACAGCGCTTCCTATTCTACAAACTGTCGGGTATCAAACAGAATATGCACCTAGGTTTACATAGACGACCTGGGCTAAAATACAAAAACCTAATTTCCAGGACAGCATAGATTATTTTGAGGATATCTGTAATTTAAATCAATTTCCAGGTCTCACCATGACTAAAAAACAAACCCTTTCATTTTCCAAGTTTTACAGGATGCGTGGGAACGCTGTCCAAAAACAATCGTAATCATGTAGAGCAATTTCCCTGAAGGGTTGGTTCTCCCTAATTACAAAACAACCCCCAACAAACAAAAACCCAAACTGCAACAAAATCTGTTATCACAAAGGGTGTCTAGCTTTATCCTGATCTAGATCTATTTAGTTTTGGTTTCATTTGTCGAAATTAATTTTGGTTCTCTACCAAGCCGATACAATAGAGGTGGGATGGAACTTAGTTTGTCTTGCTCAAAGGATTGATGACTCACATTTAAAAACAACTGAACAGGAACATTGGTTTTCTGAATCAGGAGTCAGTGTGACCCAGTACTCCATAATCCACAGAACACAATGTCAACAGTTTTTCAAGGCTGTGAGCACCACACACAAAATTCTATTCACCTCAATTTTATATAGGTGGAGAATGACATCTCAGACAAGGATCTCTCAAATTATCTGCATAGCTGGACAGTACCGGTCAGGTGAGGGTTTTTTTTTTGTCTTTTAGGAGCAGCATCCCTTTAAGTTGACCTTACATTAAGTATCTCATTGTTTTTTTGTCCTGTATAAAATCATCTGAGCCCATGAAACCAACCTGGAGAAGATATCGTTGTGTGAGCCATGGTGACCCTCTTTGAGTCCATCTTCCCCGTAAGCGTCGTACTGTTTCCTTTTCTCCTCATCTGAGAGAACCTAGAAATAAACAGCCTGTCAGTCACAGAGCGAACTAATTCTACATTGTTTTATTCACAAACAGATGTGGAACCAGTAACACAATACAATGTAATCCAATACAACAACAATACAAAACAGAACATTTATGCAAGCCCATTCCTGCCAAGGTGATAAACAAAAAGGATTGTGTTACGTCATTATAATTAGAAACTTTCTCAAAATACTGACTTAGCATCTCAAAATATTTATTATTTATTTTGAGCCACTGAGTCAAAATATTTCCATATGTTCCATAAATATTAGAATAGTTACAAGAGCAGTAGTGTTTGCATACAGAATACATCCACTCCCTCTATCTTTAATCACAGAACTGCAAATGTGAAAATGTGATCCGGAAACACCTGCTGAGTTTATCTGAATCCCCTCCCACCTATCCACGTCTGTTCTTCCTCAATGCCAGCTGTGCTAACCAACAGCCAATGAAATGCAGCCACACGGTACAGTCGACCAATCACAGTGAGCGTACAGTTTCCAACAACAACCAAATAGCTAGCTTACAAAAGACTTTTGTATCGGCTCCCCAGGCGCTTCCGCACACAATTACACATTCCCATACAAAATCTACAAAACACTACTGACAGTTACAGGAGCAGAACTATCTTTACAGTCCAAATAAGCTAACTGTGTCTCTCTTCAGCTATCACATGGCATCAAGCACACAGCAACGGTAAAACACTGACCTCATAAGCTGCCCCCAAGTCTGCGAATTTGTCTTGAGCTTTGGGGTCGTCCGGGTTTCTGTCGGGGTGTAACTGGAGAGCCAGCTTTCTGTAGGCCTTCTTGATGTCCCTGATTGATGCACTCTTGGTCACCCCCAAGATCTTATAAAAATCTCGCCTACGGGAGAGAGGGAAGTACCGGCGGTTAGGGGTGACACAGAGACACACAGAGACACACAGAGACACACAGAGACACAAGAGGAGCTGTAGCTAGATAACACTGCTGTTACCTTTACAGACTGAATTACTCAGATAAACAGCCAGCCAGCTGCAGTCACTGAGAAGGAAGCCGGTTTAGTTTCCCTGCTATGAAGGCTAGCTCCTAGCTAACCAAGCTAGCTAGTGGACTAAAACAGGCAGTTACGATGCTAAGTGGTAGCCGCTGAGTGTAAATGCTCAGCTAACGTTAGATAGGAGAAAACACAAGGACACACTTATTAGCAAGTTAGCTCCGTGTGTCAGCCTGCTCCAGTCCTCTCCACACATGTAGAGCCGGTCTGGACCAATCACAGTGAAACATGTGTACCACCTGGCGATGCTGTTTCACCGCCGATCACAGCACAGCCGACTCACCCCGCAAGCACCGCCGAGATCATGTACAGGAGCAGGCAGCATACATTGCACAGATTCATCCCTTTGTGAGCCATAGATCCCAGTGTTTGTAAAAGAAGTAGAAAACGAACAGCCGGCTTTTGAAGGTTGGATCCCGCTGCCAGTCACAAGGCTTCTTCCTCCTGTCAGAGAGAGCCCACCCACTGGACGTCGGCAAATCCGCCTCTCGGTCAAAACTCCGCCCACCATTAAAGACACATTCATCATTCTAGTGATGGGAAGTCCGGCACTTTTCAGTGAGCCACATCTTTTCACTCAGCCCGGCAATAAGAGCCGGATCTTTGGGGCAGTGGTTCCCAACCTTTTTTCTTAAGGGATAGCTTTTTTTCTGTCACTGAGTCAACTGACAACCCCTGACTAAGTGACATATTTTATGGATATTAACAATACAGAACAACTGATGGACTGTACAATGAACTCAAACACTGCAGGACGTTTGTGTAAAACAAGAGATTTGGCTGAATTTTGAGCAGATTATTTCCAGTTAATATTAAACTAAAGTATGTTTTCTTATAGTTTTAGGAACTTTTCATACAATTCTCTGACTGTATTGTGTCAATCATAAATACTATCTAAGCAAACAATTTCATTTAGTTTCCTTCATACAATATAATAATGCTGAGATATGGACCTAGAATGTGTATTTTTTATGCTTCCTTACACTTGTTAAAATCAGTAAGGCCTCGCAACCCACTGTGAAGCTCTGGCATCTCCTGGTGGGAGTCCCGACGCCCAGGTTGGTTACTGCTGCTTTAGGCTCTTAAACGACTCTTCATTTAGTTCCACCGCTGGCTTAAAATTCAGCCAAATTCAGCAGTGTTTTGACCTATTGGTATGTATACACATACATCACCAGAGGAACCTGATTTTTTCACAAATTATCTGTCTCATGTTTTACTGTCAGGATATAGTTAAAGTTTCAGCAAATATAAAAAAAAATGTTTTTCTATAAAAGTTACCTACTGCAGCTTTAATTCTAGATTAATTTATTTTTTAAAGATCAGAAGAAAAAAAAAATCAGTTCACAAACGGGACCAAGTGTCATGCCAAAAAGGGATTTTCAGTCAAAAAATTATTCCTGCCTGCAGGAGCATGCACAGCCTGTTAAAGCTGCAGCTCCAATACATCAACTGCTTTTATCTGGAACAAACAGTCATAACGTGCATAAACACATAACTTTATGTCTGTGGTATTAACCGAGGAATCAAAATGATGGCCAAAGAAGCATTTGCAGTTTATAGTGTAACTAATCCGGCATGACATTTACATGAGCAATAGCAGTAGGTATAGAGGTTTCCTGTATGTTTGATGCATCTCATATGCTTGTTTAGGGATGTGGACTGGTAGCTGGTGAGGTGCTAGTTTCACCTCCTGTGCACTGCCGAGGTGCCCTTGAGCGAGGCACCTAACCCCAAAAACTGCTCATGGGGCGCTGCTAACGTGGCCCATCACTCCACCATCTCTCTCCATGTTTGCATGTCCACAAGCCCTGCATGTGCATGAGTGTGCATTTCAGCCTGTGTGTGTATAAAATAAAAAAGAGTGAAAAAAATAATTTCTCAGATACGGGATTAATACAGTACATCTTAATCTTAGTCTTAATACTGTGACTTCAAAAGAGTCCTAAATTACAAAACCCAAAAAGGTTCAAACACATCCCACAAAAATGAAATTGTTTGCAGGGAGGATGAAATTAATGTGTAAAGAGGAGACACTTTAAATTTAAAAACTAGGCTGTAATTAACATGATTTATGGATGGGTTACATGGGTTAAATAAATTCATCTCTTTCACAATTATCCATATGACCCTGCATTATAACCAGTCCATTCCTTATTACCAGAAATACCTATAAACCCAAGAAATGCAGTTTTCACTTGCCAGAAAGTAATAACAACTGTTCCTTTGTCACTGTAAATTAATTTTCTGACCCTTGGATTATTGTAATTGTAAAAGAAAATAGCTTGAAAGATGGAAATGCTCACATTTAGCGGCACTACTTTGATTTTAACAAACAAAACTGTATATTTATTGTCCTAAGCTGTGGAGAAGGGGCACAATTACCACTTTTGTAGGAAGTAGCCGAAAAGTAATAAAACAAATTACTCTTGGTAGGGAGTAATAATTAAAGTAACAATATTACTTTTTAAGTGTAACGAGTAATAGTAATTAGTAATTAAATTGTTTGTGTAACTTCACTGCCAAAAAGTGATTACAGCTCCTACCTTGTCACTGAACGTTTTTTTTTCTGCTTCAAAATGACTTGATTCACCATGGGGATTGTATCTTAAAGATTATAGCTCACCCACCAACTTGTACCTGTTGAAATACCTTTAAAAGGCCAATAAAATAAATGAAATGCACCTTTGCAATTCACAAAAAGTGAATGCAACTCCTGCCCTAAAGGAGCCGACTCAAAGAGCCGACTCGTTCACGAACGACACATCGCTAAATTATTCTCCCTTCAAATACAGCACCCGTTACTTGACTGTGCACTGGTTTGCTTGAAAATGTTTAAAATGTATGCGTGAATTCAACGACAGCACAAACAGTAGAGTTGATGACTGAGTGAAAACGTACCTCAGTGCACGGTGAAGCGCGCCCCCGCGAGCTGCGCGCAACAGATGTCAGTTGAGGTCTGGGTGGAGAGGAGGGCGCCAAATAGGAAGAACGACAGTTGTGTTCCGGAGAGACTCTCCGTCTAATCACAGCGAACCGCTTCAGGACTCGGTCTCACCTGTACGTTCACTTATGAGTGACCGGACCTATCGAGACGGAACATCGCGTTGTCTGCAGGAGGACAAAGGCTGAAGGTAAGAGAAGGTTATCTCCCTCTCCCTCTCCCTCTCCCTCTGCCTTTACCTCGCTAGCCTCGCTAGCTAACGGTAGCTAACGTTAGGCTGGTGAGTCCTACTTTGGGGGAGTTAACTTTTGAGCATAAACAGCAGCTCGCTGGTTGCTCTGGCTGCCATTGTTGTCGTTCACATTCCTTCACAGTGAGTTTTGTGCATATTTGTGTGCTGTCTACCTGTTTTAGCTCAGAGTCCGCTCTGGTAGCGTGCCAAGCTTGATGTTATGATGCCAAGTCAGGTGTTGGTGACACGAGCAGGTTGCCGGTTGTCATGGCAGCAGCAAAGCGTCATGGAGGCATTGCAGGAGATATTGGCCACGACGTTAAACGCTTATTTTCAATGAGCTTTTTGTTATCATCATGGTTGTGCACTTGTATGGTCAGCCTTACTACAACTGCCCCCGCCCCCAGTTCATCTCTAAATGTAACATTTAACATTATAATGCAATGCTGGGTTTAATGCAATACTTAGTATGCTAAGTTTAACATCATCACAGATGATCTGTCTCATGTACTACTGTCAGGATATAGTGAAAGTTTCAGTGAATATGACAAAAAATTACCTACTGCAGCTTTAAAATCCTGGGCTTTCATTTTGCTTCAGTCATTGAACACAACCTGTCTTTATTTGGAACAGGCCTTTAATTCCTTTTGCACAAAACTCTTGTTCAGCAAAGATAGGAAATACTATCTAATGGTTTATTTAAACCAATATTAATATAACTTGTAAAAATATTTAATGTGATCATTTTGTCATGGTTTCTGTAAAATGAAATGAATGATTAAATTGTGGAGAATCTAACCAATGTACCGATGTGTAGCATGTCCATATTGACAAAATATTTTATATTTGTGTAGGCGAACTAAGCTGCTTAGAACTTACCTAAACGGGCGACCCGGTGGGCTTTGAAGGGGTTTATACATCCAAAGAGCTTCTATGAAATCCAGACCAGTCCTCTAATTGAGACGTGCCTTCATTTTTCAAAATGGGTAGCCACACCAGGCTGATAAGCAGACCTGCCTTTAATTGGGATCCTGCTTTTAATTGAAGTTTCATGGTATTTCCTTTTCTCTGTAAAAGTGAAACTGATGTCTTTGCACCTTGATACATCTACTGACGCGATTGATGTAGGACGTCAAACAAGCAAAGTTAAAAGTAGAAAGTATTGATTTATTCTTCATTTCAATTTCACATATTTGAATTGCAGTTGAACTGTGTATCAGTGTATCATGTGTCCGACATGTTTCCTTTCTCTCTAGACATGGAGTCAGACAGTGTGAGCATATGGCCGCGCATGGAACCCTTCTTACTGGGTGCACTGCAGGTGAATACACTCTTCCCATCTATTTAATGTAAAGATATTCTCCCGTGGATGTGAATGCTGTAAAATAATTTGGAGTCGATACAATTATAGGTGGCTCCCCCCTCCAAGCTCAGCCTGCACTATCTTCGCAAGATGGCGATCTATGTGAGAACACGGGATGGCTGCTTCCCCATCTTGGGCTGGCCCATGTGGAGGCATATTGCCTGTGGAAAGCTACAGCTTCCAGAGGACATTGCGTGGCTCTACTTCGAGACCTTTGACCTTCTCATAGGCCACACTCCAGAGGAGAGGCTGGAGTGGGCAGAGTGTCTTTCCCAGTGCTCTTCCAAAAGCGAGCTGGACCAACAAAGGAACAAGGTAAAAAAAAAAAAAAGAGACAGTATGGAGTAAAATGTATTTAAAGAATATGTGTGCAAACGGCTCAGTTTACCTAAGAATGTAATACTAGCTCATCGTCTCAGATAACTGTCAGGTCTGACTCTTTCATGAGGGTGTGCTGCTCTGTTGTTGTGTTTTGCCCCAGGCTGGGGTTAATGTTACTGCAACCCTGCTCTCACATTTGACTAGACATTGATATTCACCCCTTGTTCTTTTTCTCCTGTTCATTCCAGTTGTCTGTGGACACACTGCAGTTCCTCCTCTTCCTCTACATCCAGCAGCTGAACCGTGTGTCTCTGCGCACCTCTCTGATTGGTGAAGAGTGGCCCAGTCATCGTACTCGCTCCCCCTCTCCATCAGACCGAGAGGCTAAGACTAGCTCGCAGAACAAGGTCCTTGTTCCTGTGAAGGACAAAATACAGCCTGATAACATTATTTTTTGCAATATTCTATTCTGATTACTTCCTATTGCCCAGTGCAAAGCATCTACATTATTAAGTTTAAATGTTCATCGCTCCGTCCTTTGTGATGTGCCGCTCACAGTTCTGCTGCTGTTTCTGTTTGCTTCAGCAGAACTGGGACGATCAGGCCCACCTGTCGTT